GAATAATCTATCATTACAGTGAAGAAAATTAAAATATAACAAACATTTCCTACCAAGTCTTATTTTTCTTCCTGAAGACAGAAAACAATGTCATTATGGGAACTTTATATTCACTGAAAGGCAGTCACATCTTTATTTTAAAATCCTACAGACTCTGGCTATATTAGAATACTCATCTATATTAGCCTTATATTCTGTACTTTTATTATTTTATTTTATTGATATCAACATATATCACAGTAAGCAACGTAATATGGACCAAAGTCCAAGAAAACCTTAACGTGGTCTTTCAAAAGAGAAGAAAACGCTGATGAAGTTGAGCTCAGACACAAGATACAAATGAAAATATGACAGTAGGGACAGTAATATTCACCGCCTTTCCAGGTTTCCAAAGAGGATAAATTGTCCCTCACTGTCAGGGTCATACCCACCACCTTATGAAATAATGTTGTGAGACATGTGTAAGATGTAGATCTAGAATTCTAAGAATTCCTAGAAAAACTCAACTAGAATACTGATATAAACAAAAAAGAAAATACCCTAGTTGTATAATATTTACCATTTATAATTCCAAAAGACCACAAAGCCCTTTGATGAACAAGAAAATACACCTGAGGCATACTGCATGGGGCGGGGGGGGGGGGGGGGGGACTATTTTAGTCGAATATGTAATAATGAATTGCTTCCTCAGGCTTTATATAATTCTTAGAGAAAGTTCAAATTAAGTCCCCAAAAGGATGTTTTAATTATAAGGAGCAATATTTTAAAACTCATACAAGCCATCACACTTGTTTGGAAACAAATGACTTTTCAAGATGTAGAAGTATTACTATCAATCACTAACAAGTTAATTCTACATAATAAGGCAGGTTTGGATGGAAACTGACCCACCATGGAATGCTATATTGAAAATTGATTACAACAGCACTCAAAATGAATGCAGCCCTTTAAACCACTTCTTTGCTCAGAAACATTAATCTCAATTAGAAGGAGAGCTTCATAATGGTAATGCTTGGTATAAAAAAGTATGAAATAAATCAGTTTTTATAAGACACAACAATTAATCAGTTTTGAAACTTCTAAGTTTTTTTTTTTTTTTTTTTTAAGCACAAAATATCCATCAGGATTCTTAAAACAGCTGCTAGCTCCAAAATAAGGTTTTCAATGTGTTCTGACTGGAGCTACGGGCCATAATTTTAAAGACTTAGTTATTAAAACTTTTAGGTAGTGTTACATTATTGTGCTATCTTTTCAGTACGCTTCTTTATTTTGAAAGGGTGTTAAAATTTTCTCCAGACTCTCATTCCACTTTAAAAAACAAATACGAACCCTGGCTTTAGCTGAAAATTCAAAGGACGTATAATTAGGTGTGGATCCAAGTTTGATGGCAAATTATCGTATTCTTTGCTCATATTTTCAATCGAAGTAAAGGAAGTATGTCCTTACAGTCAAAAGAGACATTTGTCTATCAAAGAAAACACTGGGTAGAGAAACAATGCATCATCGAACATGCTTAACAGGTTTCTACAGCACATCTTAAGGAAACGGGCAGACAATTCAGTAAGACTGCTGAATACACTGATTCACGTTAAGTATAATACCTTGATGACAGTCCTCAGCCGCCCGGAAGTAAAAAAAAAAAAAAAAAAAAGAAAGAAAGAAAAATTAAAGGGGTAAATAAAGCTTAAAAGAAAAAAGGTACTGTATTTATTAAAATGATCAATACTGATAAACAAATATAACTGCCTTTATATCAGACTCTGACTTCTTCAGGACTTCCCAGTGGTACCGTAGGCAGAACAGACTTGAACATTTCCAAACATACTTTCACAGCTGTTCCAAAAACATCGTTCTTTGTACATCAGCTCGGAGTTGATCAAGTATTTCTGATAGGTCATTCTAGTCAGATGCTAGCCATACACTTTAGCCTGGGTTCTCACTTGCTTGACTCTTTACAAAGAAAATAGTCTTAACTCTTGGCTTTCAGAAGCAAAGCTAAAAAAGAATAGTGTGAACTTGCTAACTGGATTATTATTGTTCAGTTAGGTTTTCTTTCTGAATAAATTTAAAACTTTTCACTCTATTTAGGTGCTTTCTTCTATTCAAAGATAAGCATCCTTATCTTTCTTTGTCTTCCCCCTAATAAAGCAGGTTCTCTTTTCTATCCAAAAGACTCATGACACGCCTACAAGATCATAGTAAGAAGAGCATCTATAATTTACCTCAAACATTTCATTCTAGAAAATAAACTCAGCTGTGCAAAGTGGTTCAATTTGGGGGGAAAAACTAGTCAGAATTCTACTATAATTTTATCGGCTTAATTCAGAAATCCTCATTAGGGTTGCTACTCCCTGGCCATGAGTTGCTAACATTAATGCTGTTGGCCCAGGATACTAATAAATTCTTCAAATATATAAGCCCTGGCATTGTGATTAGTATATAAACACACTTCATAAAAACTGAGTGATATATGTAAAAATATACCTGTCTTACTTAAAGGAATTACTTTCCCTCATAATATTCTTTTTTAAATTGTCTACAATAAAATATATTTACCACCAGCAAAAAACAGTACCTTTGAGCAAAGAGGGATACTAAAAGTCAAATTAAAAAAAAAGGCAAATTGTTAAGGAAAATGCAACAAGAAGAAAGGTACAGCAGAATCCTGAAATACACAACAGAATAACCAAACTCATTTATAAACACCTATCTTTGAAGAATTTAGGAAGAGTTTGTGAATGCCATGACATTTTAAAGTGAGATGAGCAAGTCTTATTACTGAACTAACCTCTCACTCGTAGAGCAAGAATTAAATATTTGCTCTGCATTTAGGATCACAAATCGAAAGTTTCCAGGCTCTTGCAAGAATTTCATTTTTTAAGAAATAAAAGCTAGAAGTTTTAGATAATTAAGAATAGATGAAGGAGAACACAAAGTTAGAGGGTGTATTTGTAAAATTTTTGCTTCAACTGAAATATTAAAATCTAGAATGAATTTTAATTACGTAGTTACTCTAAACTCTGTTCCTAATATACTAGATAGACCACGAATACTTTTCCAGCTAAGCAACTGGGTGGGGGAAGGTATGCAACGCCTTTTAATCAAATTCACGAAAGGAATCAAAGCCCAAGTTCTGTTCAGTTGCAATTCTACCTTTTGGGGTACTCTTCCAAGCTTTTCACAGACACCAGCCCTGACTTTTTTTGTTTTCCTTTTGACAACAGAAAAGAAAGGCAATGCCTGGACATATTTCTATTTCTACTGAGAAGACCACCCAGTGGATTCTGCCAGAGTCTACAAATGTTTGAGAAATATATTGTCAGAAGATAAGAATTAAGAGTATTATGAAGAGACAGTCCTGCTCTCCGGAATCCCAGCTGCCTGGGGCCCTGGAAAAAGTGCCTGGCCGGCCCTCCCCCTTTCACCTCCTCTGCACTTACCCAAAAGTACCTGGAAACTTTTCTCCAGCTGTAAATTATAAGGACTCCAGAAAACAAATGTACCTGTTACCCTTTCTCCTCAATAAGCATTAGTAGCAGGTTACCATCACCACTACCTTAAAGGGGAGGCAGTAGGAACGGGATGCAAAGGGCATAACAAGGTGCTCAGCAGAGACCAGACACAACCCACCTCCATCTCAAACATCTGACGCTCCTTCTCATTGGTTGCAAAACACGATACAGCCCGCGATCGAGCTGCAGATCCGTACGCCGGTCATTTTTTCAACGCCCAGTTCAGGCTATCTGTTTGTTTCCAGCCCCATCCAGAGTTTCCGGATGAAGTTTCAGGCGAGACCCCGCACTCCCCACGCCAGCCCAGCCCCTCGTTTCCGTCCTCCTTTGCGTCCCAACTTGGCTCCCGGGTACTCGGAGAAGCCTCCTCTCCACTTCCCCGGAAAGTGGCGACACTTCGGGGCTTCCCGCCCGCTGGGAGCCCCGAAGGGTCTTCCCAGCGACCTCCTCCGAGGACGCGCCACAAAATGTGGGGATCACCCCGACCA